GGGGTAGAAATAACACACTTTATAATTACTAGAATAATTTTATGAGATTAATGTTTTAATAAAACATTTTGAATTTGAATGAAATGGTGGGGGACAAATAAATAATGTTTTTAATTATGAAACTAAAACCCCTGTCACTAGCAAGTCACAGTCTTAATGAATGAGTCAAAAATAACACTCTTCTTCCTCGTCTGATATTGCACCAAATGTATAAAAAAGCAAGAACTTATACAGACAGATGTCATGTCAGTGGCACTGCATGAGAAACTGGACATGTGTTGTGAGAGGGCCCATCTGTTTGTCCCAAATTGTTAAAAATATTAACCATTGTAATATGATTTATTAATGAGGAGTTTTTAAACAGTACTCTAGGGCTCTGTTTGTACTAATGTAGTAGGGCTATGTCATAACCTTTGTCTATCAGGAAACAGATGTGTACTCTAAATGCAGTGGCCAAGTTGATTTGTGCTGATATAAGAATTCTTGTTCCCATCAAAATGCACAGCATAGTGTTATTTGTATTAACTTGTTATTGGCAGATTGAGCTAACACATGATCATAATTTTTGTCCATTTTAAGGCTTTTAGTTATAAACATGGAACATCTCACATACTGTATAGGGTAAAATATGGGAAGATTCCCCCTTAAGAACAAGAAAATTGACTTTTAAATTGTAACATATTTAGATATAAGTTTAGCATGTGCAGGATGATGATTCATTAGCCAATGTGTTATTATAGAAAATGAATAAAAACATTTGCTTATTTAGTTGTTATAGCACAAAATGTAAAATATGAAAAAGAGGGGTAAAATGGCCCCTTACTGTCCACAAATCCCTCATTAACCTCAAAACTCTTTCGACTGACTAAATCTCACAAATGTTGATATTCAGATGAAATGACAAAATTAAAAATAGTGTAGCCATTCATCAAAACTGCTAAGATGTAATTGCCATATATAGTCAGGAGAAATATATTATCAGTTAGTTTGGAGTAGTTAGTTTTTAGTGGGTGAATACTTCATGAATATATTTGATTGTTTTGGCCATCAGATTTTGTAATTAATATAATTGTATACATTAATCATTTTTAAAACACATGTGACATTTCACAAAATTTAGAAAGACAGAATTCACAATAAAAAAAAAATAAATAAAATAAAAAAAAAACACTGCCACCGTTATTCAGTTTTGGTATGCTTGTTCTGTCCATTGGAATAGTCAGTTGATCATCAAGGATCACCCCAAGATTCCTGGCCGAACTTGATGGAGTATTGTTGATGAGATGCTGTACTGATGGGGTGGCTGGGAAGATGAGAAGTTCTGTTGGTTTGGTTCATGGCTTTTAACTCTTTAACAAACACTATTTTTAAAATCCCTATGGGAAAATGAATGGGAAAGATGCTTTCGGATCCCAGGTCACTGAAAAAGTGAGTGGTCACTGTTGCACTCTGTTATTATATATTTAAATATTTTAAATATGCCAGTTACATAGCAAGAAACTTTGATCATATTTCACACAAGACTGATTCAAAAAAATTACGATAACACAGCTGTGGTTTGTTCTTTCATAATTCTGTGTAAAAACTCCATCTGAATGTTTTCAAGGTGTATTTTCATGTGCGTTTGTGTTTGTTATCAGGTATTTCCACCAGAGCAGCCTTTGTGGGGTGACCGTGTTTACCACGGTGAGTTCCGGGTTCAGTTCTGGCAGAACGGGCGCTGGATAGAGGTACGGGTGGATGACCAACTGCCCTGTATCAATGACACTCTCTGCTTTTCACGATGCCAGAGCCCTAGGGCATTCTGGGTAGCACTTTTGGAGAAAGCTTATGCCAAGTAAGTGCTATAACTTGAATGAAGATTTTGGTGGATTATTCAATGTAACTGTAATGTGTGAACTAAAAGCAAAACCTAATAATTGAGAAGTTGTTAATTGTTCTTCATGCTAGGTTACATGGTTCGTACGAGCTTTTGTGGGCGGGGCAAGTATGTGAGGCAGTTGTGGACTTGAGTGGAACCATAGCAGTACGATGGAATCTAAAAGGGGCGGAGTCTCCACAACAGCCCAACGACTCCCAGACTCAACACACACCTAATGGGATGAGACTATCTGAACTCTCACTGGAGCTGAAGGAGCGATGTGCCATCGGCTGCTGTGTCCACAGCGCCCCCACAGGTGAAAGAAGAAAGCAACCACTGACTTTTTTCTCCTCTCCAAACAGAGTTTAAAGGGGTCATATGATGCGATTTCAATTTTTCCTGTCTTCTTGCAGTGTTACAAGCTCTTGGTGCATAAAGAAGATCTGTAAAGTTCCAAAGACTAAAGTCTCAAATCCAAAGAGATATTCTTTATAAAAGTTAAGAGTCAGCCACACCTACCTAAAACGGCTTGTTCTAACACGCCCCCACATACCTACGTCGCTCTGTGGGAAGATTTGCATAACGCCGCCCAAATGTTCACGCAAAAAAAGAAGGCGTAACTTTTATTCTCGCTGTAGTATTGTTGCCGCTGCCGCCATGTCCTGAAGACGCTGTGTGCTCACGCTAAGCCGGGGCTTCCGCTCACGCTAGGCAGCTGTGTTTTTGTTGTGAAAGCAAAACTACTTTGTTTGGTCTTCCAAAAGAGGACACGACTAGAAATCAGTGGTTAAGTTGTATTTACAACACTGTTCCAAAACAGTTTAACCCAAATATTCAGATGTGTGCAGCACATTTTATGGAGGACCGTTTACTGATCCTGGGAGAGTAACGTTCTGACTCACGTAAGTACATTTTCATTTAAAGGATTTGCCACTGATGATTCAAATGTGAGTTTTGGACAGTGTAGAGTAGCACTTGTTTGTCATTTCCCTGATCACAAATGCAGACAGGGTTTTATGTTTACGTAAAAAGACAGTATAAGTCATTATAATCAGTAATTATGTCCCCACTGGATGCAACAAATGCCTCGTTTATAATGGGTTTTAATGTTTTTGTCTTGTCGCTCCGGCCGGACACGGCATCAACAGTATGGTGAGGGGCGTAACATTTCCGTCACACGCTTGAGGTATTCAGCCAATCACAACGCACTGGATAGCTGGCCAGTCACAGCACACTTCGCTTTTTCAGACCGATGAGCTTTGTAAAAATTGACGCGTTTCAAAAAGGCGGGGCATAGAGGAGAAACAATAATGTACAGTATGTGGAAAATAATGTTTTTTTTTTTTTTTTACTTTAAACCGCATAAACACATTTCATTACACCAAATACACAAAATAATGTTCTTTTTAGCAGCATCATATGACCCCTTTAAAGCTGAATTAAATGAACTTTCCATCATTGACACAGTTATTACATGAATACATCAACTAAAACGGAACCAAATTAAGTATTAATAATATACTATTATAGTACTTATTAATATTTTGAATTGTATTTTATGTTTATATTTATCAGTTTTCATTTTAATGATAGTTTAAGTTAATTTTGTTGTGTGTTTTTATTAGTTTTTTATATTTCTGTTTTTTTTTTACCTCAGTTTTTTTTTTTTTTTAGTACTTCAGCTTACTTTATTTAGAAACGTTTATAATTTTGTTTAGTTTGTTTTTTGTATTTTATTTTATTTCAGTTAACATTTATTTTATTGCAATGATTTTTAATAGTTTTAGTTAACAATAGCAACACTATTTGGGAATGATTATAGACTACAGCAACAATAGTTACAATAGTTTACAGATTTTATAATGTCCCACATTTACTCCTTAAATTTGTTGCTGGCAAATCTGCAGTTTTCAGAAAATCTTTCACAAAATACCATAGGAAGGATTTAATAATAGTACTGTAATAGTTCTAGTAATGGGTTCGTTGCAGGAATCCCAGAGCTTGGTCAGTTCCACGCCATGAGTGTGATGGAGTGGACAAATGTGACAACCACTACAGGTGAACAAGTGGAGCTGATCAGGATACGAAACCCCTGGGGCAGGAGGAGCTGGACCGGCGTCTGGAGAGAGAGGTATGGAGGGAAAAAATTGCTGAATCATCACATGCCGGACCATTTTTTGGTTTGTTTTGTGTGTTAAGTACCTTATATTCTATATATGTATTATATATACAATTTGTTATTTTAATTGTGAATTTTTCATATCTGTGTATAATGATTTGAACATGTCTAACAATATATAATAAGGTTTAATTAGTAACTGCAATGCTGTGTCTAGCCGCCTATCTCTGACGAAGCACTGAAAGTCATTCATTTGCATATGAAGAATTTTTGGATCCTATTTGAGCTTGGGATACGTTGAACTTTTTATGTTTTGCAGTTAGACTGAATGCAACACCAGACCGGATGTGACATATTCAAATCAAAACTGTTATATTATTGAAGAACAAAGTGAGAAATACCAATATTGTTCCACTAAAATGTGATTCTTTAAACACTATTTCTGTAAAATGAGTGGTTATAATTATTTCAGACATAATTATTAATATTATAATTCTTAAATAATTATTTACATTCATTGTCCCTAGAAAACCTACTATGATTTTCTTTCAAATATATTGGTGGTCATTTATTTTGTGTGGATATCATTATTCATTCATTTTACCGTGATGAATAAGTGGAGGGGCAGTTGTTGGACTGGCACTAGGGGCAAAACGTGACAATCATATGCAAATGTTGGTGATAGTGTAAATGCAGCTTTCGTCTGACTGGTTTTGTCTGTCTCTCTGTACAGTGGAACAGGTTGGGCTTCTCTGGAGCCCTCCTGTTCCCAGGCTCTACTGGGCCGCACGGCAGAGGGGGAATTCTGGATGGACGAGACAGAATTCCAGCAGGAATTTGATGAGGTTACAGTAGGCTATCCCCTCAGTGATGCAGGACACCTCCAAAGCATCTACACAGGTATTGTCTATAAATTGTACAGTTGTTTAAATAATTAAAAATGTATAATTTTTTTTATTTGAAATAAATTTATACTCGTATTCATTTACATTGTTTTTTACATTTCAATGCAAGAAATAAAACTAAAATGTTATAACAAAAACATAAATAAGATTAAGAATTAAGAATTTTTTTTTATTCCTCTTGTGAAATGGCATGATGGACCAAATCAAAGGTCATCACAGCGCAACTTTGGCCCGTGGGTCCTAGTTTGGGAATCTTTGGTCTATGCGTTCTTGAGAGCATTTGCATGACCAGTGCCTTGCTGTCTTATATAAATTATATATCTACAAATTGTTTGAATATCTAGTGAATCATTTGCACGTTTAATAATAAAAATTATAATAAATGTAGATATTTGTTTCATATTTATATTAATTTGTGATTTCCCTTCATGTAGGAAGCTATCTAACCCACAGCCACCAAATTGGAGGTCGCTGGGCCAAAGGTCACACTGCAGGCGGTTGCCGTAACAATAACACTTTTAGTATCAACCCTAAGTTCTGGTTAAAAGTGTGTGAGAGAGGGGAAGTGTTGCTGTCATTGCTGCAGTACAGACATCCTGAACCACAAGCAGAGGGCGGCACTCAGCAGCACTCACACCTCCAGGCCATTGCACTGCATGTGTGGAAGGTTAGAGAATCACTAAATAATCATTTCTGAGTGATTGAAAATGTTTCATTATGTAATGTTATGTATAATATGTTATAGGTGGAGAAGAAACACTTTAACCTGATGCGGACGCTGAACAATCCACCGCTTGTGTCGCACACGCATGCGTACAATCGGGAAGTGGTAGTGCACACTCACCTGAATCCTGGTTTTTATCTGTTGGTGCCTAGTACCTTCCTGCAGGGAGCGGAGGGCCGGTTCCTTCTGAGAGTTCATTCTTCCTGCTCTACCTCTCTCAGGTGACTGCACTAAGACAAACGTAACTGTATTGAACTTTTTGTGCGGGTCAAAAGTTTGGGTTTGGCCGTATTTTATTTTGTATGTTTTTGAAAGAATGCTCACCAAGACTGCATTTATGTTGTCAAAAATACAGCATAAACAGTAATATTATAAAATATTATTACACTTTAAAATAAGTGTTTTCTATTTGAATATATTTTAAAATGTAATTTTTTTCCTGTGATGTCAAAGCTGAATTTTCAGCATCATTACTCCAGTCTTCAGTGTCAAATGATCCTTCAGAAATCATTCTAATATGCAGATTTGCTGCTCAAGGAACATTTCTTATTATTATGAATGTAGAAAACAGTTGTGCTGTTTAATATTTTTGTGGAAACTGTTATGATCAATTTAATGCATCCTTGCTGAATAAAGTATAAAATATTCTTACTAACCCCAAAGTTTTGAACTGCAGTGTATATATGTAATAATGACACTAATTATTAGTGATCATATACACACTGCATCTAAATATGCAATATGATATGATAAAGCCATATCATTGGTCCAAATCGTCTGTATTTTTCTCCAGTGTGATGAAATCCCCTCCTCCTCTTCAGCACTGTTCAGCGGGCGAGTGGGAAACCATCATCTCTCATGGCTGTTGGTCCGTTGGTTCTACTGCAGGAGGAAGTCGCAACTTCACCACACATGGACTCAACCCCCGTATACCCTTTACTGTGACCTATGACCCTGGAGGTAACAACGTAAAGGTCACATTATGCCAAAACAGGCCTGAAAATTCCCTCCATGCCATCGGCTTTCATATTTATAAGGTCAGAATTGATACATACCTCATTTATAATCCGTTTTGAGGCATCTAAATGACTAACCTGCTGAAAAGCTGTGCTTATTGTGCCAAAAGTGTCCAGTTCTAGTCATAATTGTTCTGGTAACAGTATTAGTTATAGTAGGTGTCGGTGTCTAACATTCAGTAGTGGATCTCTTTTGGTATTTGGTATGTGTGTGTCTCCAGGTACCTGATGGTGACTCTCTTTTAAGCCCTGGTGCAATGTCTCCGGTGGTTAGCTGTGTACCTCATGCCCACTCCCAGGAGGTCAGTGTGTTTTGCCGTCTACAGCCAGGCAAGTACATCATAATTCCCTCCACCTACCAGCCAGAACTCAGCGCCCACTTCACGCTCACTTTTACATGCAGGATAAATCGGTAAGCACTCCACCTACACACTATTACAAGGAAAATCTGGAAATATCTGTGAAAATTTTGATTAAAGTCATAGACATTAATAAAATCTTACATATGTGTCTACATTAGTGGTCGATATTTGTCATTTTTCAAATATATTGGCATCGGCCGATAAGTTTTTCTGTTTGGCCGATGTGTTCGAGGCTGGACTTTTATTTTGACGATGCACACAGCGCTGACATTCTCCCTCTTCATTGTTTGCTATCGCCCTTTAACAGTTCTGTTTGATGATACGGATAGAAGTCGGTCTAATAATCAGATAGAACTGTTAAACAAAGGAATTAAAATGTATACAATAAAGTATTATAACGATTGCTTTTATATTATTAGTAATAGAATAACATTTAATAAACATTTAGTTTCACAAACCTTGCAGACTTGGTCAAATCCAGTTGTGAGATGTTATGAATTTGTATCCTGCATGATCGCATGTACTCTTTAAATTCATGATTTCAAACTATTTTCCACTTTATTCATTTGCCCACTGTCATACTCATGTCATTTTCACTGTGTGCTTGTATGTAAAATGAGTGTTACCTTGTTTTAATTTGAAAAAATATGATTCCCAATGCACACAAACATCCCCTGTTGGTTACAGTGTTTATTTCCTTTTTATTTATATATATATATATATATATATTTTTTTTTTTAATTCTTTATTTGTGAAAAATGTTCTAATAGGATTATAGAATCAAGAAGTTGTCATCTGAACTACAAGTATGTTTATTTGAAATTCAAATTTCTTAAATATTAATTAAAATAAATACAAATTATATATATATATATGTACACACACACATACATACATATATCAGCTTTATATCGGCCATCGGCCACCCTGCTCTCTAAGATATCGACATCGGCTGTCAAAAAACCAATATCGGTCAAACACTGGTAGACATTCTTCAAAAAATTGTTACATACTGTAATTAGACATACTTTAATTAGAATTTAACTGGTCAATGCACTGTGAAAAAACAAATCCTAGATAAAAAAAAAACAGGTAAAATGTAGTTTCTTGTTAAGAAATTGTTGCTAGTTGACATTGGCCTTAAATCTTTGGCTCTAATATAGTGAAGTACTAATGTTGTCAACCTCCTCAGGAAAGCAATGCAGAGTCAAGAGCTTCTGGGCCATGCCGTTCAGGAGGTAATGATCGTTCACCTCATTTTAAGGAGTAGTTCACCCAAAATCAAATCCTGTCATGATTCACTCAACCTCATGTTGTTTCAAACCTATACGGCTTTTTTTCTTCTGTGGAGCATCGAAGATATTTTGAAGAATATTGGTAACCAAACAGTTTCAGTTCCCATTGACTTCCATTGTATCATTTTGAAAAATAAATTTAAGCTGATATCTAGTTCAAATTTAGTGTATTTTTATATGTTATTAATTATGATGAATTATATTAATATACATTTACATATATTTTCCTAGCCTACTAAATATTATTTGCTTGTACCATTTCTGTAATTGACAGTTCTGTTTTTGTTTTACTTCCACTGCTCTCCACTGTAAGATGTAAGATTTGTCTTTCTCTTTCCTCTCACAGGTCTCCTGTATCTCTGTGATGAGACGATAGGAAGTGGATCATGTGAGTCTTGAAAGTCTTGAGATGAAAGTCTTGCCCTCCATCCTCAGGACAGGAGTCTCATGGTGTGTAGTATGTGGCTCTGCACAGCCTCATCCACCCTAATGGGAGCCATCGGTGCAATTCACTTACCACAAACAGCTACCAAAATTCACCAGCGGTGGATAAATCATAGTATACCATAGTATAACAGGACCACTGTCCTGTTGAGGCAAGTTGGAGCTAAACTCTGCAGGACACCGGCCCTCCAGGACCGAGTTTGGAGACCCCTGGTATAAACTGTTTAGGGATTTGTCACAACGGTTGCCTAGTCTTTCAACAACCGCCCTCTAAGAAACATGTTACATACTGTACTATAAATGTGTACTGATGCCAGACTTATTTATTATGAATTATTTATTATGAATGATTTTTGTCCAAGTTGCAAAAAAGGCGAAAATAATCAACTAAAAAGCATTTTTAAGTATCTCATTTACTAGAATATCGAAAACAGGCATTACCACGTAGTTAGGCATTACCACTTTTATATTCACACAGATTTATACTACCATCATGATATGTAAATTTCAGTGAAAGACTGAGCAGAAGAAAAAAAGTTTCCAATATCGAGAGAAAAAGAAAACAAGGATGCAGAAGAATAAAGATGGGGGTATTACTGGGCAAAAGAAGGGCAGACAGTGATTGAATAAGTGGGAGGGTCAGCGGCTCTACTAAAGCCTCCAGCTCTCTCTGAAGTGTGCCGCAGAGTTGGAGCCCCTCACGCAGTCGCTGCCCCGTCGGCCCCTCTGTGAGTGCTAATAGCCTGTGTGTGAGGATCCGCAGGCCTGTTAGTGCCGCACTAGTGACGAACTTGTAGCGTCACTGTCCACCCTGATCCAGTGCCTGGTGCCGCCACACAATGACTCGTTATGTGAAGCAATTACACTGCTGTGACCCTTTCCTCCTCATGTGCGTGTCTGTTATATGTACAGCAATATTCATTAAATTATTTTGAATTTTAAAACTTGAATCCTACTTTGTTTGAATACAAAACTTTTTTAATAAGATATAAAAACTCTTTTTTTTTTTCGTATTCATTTTTATTTAAAAAGAACATTTTACATCTGTTCAGCAATGACTAAGCTTACCCAACATTACTTGACCCCATTAAATTATTAATAATTTAATAAAATGACATCAGTGCTGTAATTTATTTTATTAAATCATTACCTTTTATTTTCAGAAACAACTTTTAATGTATATAATTATATGTTTGTATCTATGAGTGTGTGTGTACAGTATATATACACAGTATATCAGAGGTGTAAAGAGTACCTAAAAACCATACTTGAGTAAAAGTACAGATACCTTACAGTGAAAATTACTCCACTACACGTTACAAGTCACCAATTCCAAAACAACTTGAGTAAAAGTCTTAGAGTATCTGATTTTAACAGTACTTAAGTATTTTACTTATACTAAATATAGGCTCAAAGAAGCACAAGTCAAAGAGACATGCCAGTGATAAACTGTAACGTTGTGGAGAAGCTGCAGGCAAGGATCTATGTGCAGGTATTTCATGGAAAAACTAGAACAAACAATAAACTAAAAACCAAAGGGAATAAAGAACAGAGTGACTGACAAACAGACAACCATTACATTCAACAACTCACAAGGAACTAAAGAAAAACTAGGGCTATATATACACACAGGGGAATAACAAGCTTAACAAGATAAGACACACCTGGGGAGACTAATCAAGGGGAACCAATGAACACACGGACTACAAACTGACTACAAACACCATGGGAGACAGGAAGTGACATAAAAGTCCAGGGCAAGGCACAGAGAGCATGAAACAAAAACAAGAAAGAGTTGATTTGTGAGGAGAGCAATCCCATTTATTTTCTAAAACCACAATAAAACTGAACACCTCAAAATTGCAACAAAAAAAAAGGTCTCTTCAGTATAATGGATAAATAAAATAATGTTAAGTACAACTAAAAAGCCGAAGCCTTCTTGCAGTGGATGTGCTGGTTTGGGCCTCATTGCCGGCTGCAGTCATGTCCTCATCTCATATATAAAACACCTCTGATTCACAAATACTTGCTAAGGAACTCGCATTCACATAAAGTAGCCTTGTTGACAAGTTTGGGTGAGTAAGGGCAAAACGCAGAAGATGCAGTACTTTCAGTGACCTGTAGCAGGCAATATCACGTCTTTTGTAGCAGAAATAAACTGCTGCAGAAAAAGCTAGGTCCATGCAAAATGTAGTGTATAACTGCAACACTCATTTCAAATGTAGTGGAGTAAAGAGTACAGATACTCATTCAAAAATGTAGTGAAGTAAAGAGTAAAAGTTGCTAATATCTTTGATACTCAGTACAACTACAAAGTACCCGAAAAGATACTCAAGTACAGTAACTAATTACATTTACTCCAATACTTTACACCGCTGCAGTATATATATATATATATATATAAAATATATAATTTTAGTGAAATTTAGTAAAATGAAGTAAAAAGTTTAAATATTTAGTAAAAAGTTTAAATATGAAAAACTTGTGAAATTTGACATTACTTGACCCAATTAAATTCTTAATAATTTAATTAAATTCATAATTTATTTATTTAGTATTATTAAAGGAATTCAGTTGTAATTTACTTTATTAAATAATTTCCTTCTATTTCTAGGAACTGTATGTATGTATGAATGTGTGTTTATACATTAGCTATTCAACACAACATGTTTATTAGACTAGGATAAGGTAACAGTTTCTCCCACTTTTGTATACTCTGCAAAACTACAAATATTCAGTGTACAGCGTGCGCGTCACCCACCACGGACGATGCGCGCGGCCGTTGCTGCGGAATCGACGGGGCTGCCGTCGGCGCGAGAGCGAGAGCGAGAGCGGATACAGACACTCACCTAGAAAATAATGAACAACAAATTTGACGCGTGAGTAATCAAAGCGAGGCTGCACGTTGGCAGGGATTAGTCGTGCGTAAATGCAAATGCATGCGTTTCAAGCGTCTCTTTAACTCAGAGAGACCGGGAAAGAGAGAAGGGGGGGAAAGAGGTGTGTCTAGAAGCTTTGGCATGGGATGGGAGGTCACCATGTTTTAGTTGCATGATTGGACTCCACTAAGATTTTGTGATGGATTGTGTTTTAATGCATGCGGAGAATGCAGCATGCAAATAACCACTTCTAGTCCCAGATCTGCATGCTCAGGGCCTCCAGGCCGAGGACGGATCACCGGGTTACGCGTGTGTGTGAGCAGCGGGGGCAGGTGCTCTGCGACCCCGGCTCAAACTCTTCTCTGCAGCCAGCTGGAATGGCATGAGGCGGTGTGGGCTGGCTGGAAACACGCGAGGGGTTGTGCACAAGCGAAACACGCTATACTTTACATGGCACGTGAAAACGAAACTACTATATATTCATCTGTTACATAAGCAGCGTACTTTATTATGTTTGCAAACTTCTCATGCGCAGCCACTGACCATTATAAGCGCAGGGTCAAATAAAGTTGTGCAGTCTGTCTCTGCAAACTCAACACAGAGCCTCTGTCCTTTCGCTAATAAAGTCGAGTTTGATAATATAATATCCTTTATAACAATCCTCAGAAATGTAATTACCGTTACAAAATGTACCATGGTACTATGATTTTTGGTATCGGATAGTTAATAACATGGTACTGAAAAAAAAGTGTACATTGTAAAGCCACTTGTATGACTTAATTTAATATGTTGAACATATGTTGGCATATCTTAAGTTTTTAGCAGCCATTACTCGGTCTTCAGTTAAGCAGCAAGAACTGTTTTTAAAATCATAAAAACATTTATGTTGCTTTCTTGAGCATCAAATCAGCATAGAATGATTTCTGAAGGAGCATGTGACACTGAAGACTGGAGTAATGATGCTGAAAATTCAGCTTTGCCATCACAGGAATGAATTATAACATTTTAAAACATATTCAAACAGAAAACTTGTTTTTTTATTGTATTAATATTTGACAATATTGTGGTTATTACTATATTTTCGGTCAAATATATGCAGTCTTGGTGAGCAGAAGAGACTTATTTTAAATATAAATGATCACACAATCACACGCATTTTAGAGTTTTCAGATTTTTGGAACCACTGCAATTATTATTGCCCTGATTGAAGCCACAGTGACTAAAATAATAACATAGTGTGGGTGAGTGGAATTGACCGTTTTCTCTCTCTTTAAGCCTGAAAGATGATGACAGTGGAGATCAAGACCAGGACAACTGCTCACCGAAAGACGGGGAGAAAGAAAAAAATGACGAAGAAGAGAAGGACTCGAACACTACCAAGAGAAAGGTACAGATAGATAGATAGATAGGTCAATGCTTTGGCTATGCTGTATAATTCATGCCAATAAAGCTCACTTGAATTGATAGACAGAAAGAAATCCTATGTAGATTATAATAGATTGTTCTATATAACTATGAGCTGCTTTACTTGTGCAGGCGGTGGTCCCAGGGGCTGGTGAGCACCCTCTTCAGTACAACTACTCGTTCTGGTATTCTCGTCGCACACCAGGACGGCCAGCCAGCACACAGAGCTACGAACAGAACATTAAACCGATCGGGAGCTTTGCTTCGGTAACCTACAGACACACAAACTCACATTGACATATTTATTCAGACTCACGTACTGAAGATTCAAACACAGGCACAGTGGGGGATGAAGCTTGACTGCCTTACTGAACTTTGACAGTTCAACAGCTGCCCTGTGTTTGTAGGTGGAGCAGTTCTGGCGTTTTTATAGTCACATGATCCGACCGGGTGATCTGACTGGTCACAGCGATTTCCACCTGTTTAAGGAAGGAGTCAAACCCATGTGGGAGGTGAGATTTGTAGAACACATGTACTGTATGAATGCTTCTTTTCGCATGACAGAAAATAGAATTCGGATTGTATTATTTAGGATGATGCTAATAAGAGTGGAGGGAAATGGATCATACGGCTTCGTAAAGGCCTGGCGTCACGCTGCTGGGAGAATTTAATCTTGGCCATGCTGGGTGAGCAGTTCATGGTGGGCGAGGAGATCTGTGGGGCCGTTGTGTCCGTTCGCTTCCAGGTACTGCAATATTCATGCAATATAGTTTGTATATTGTATAGCATGCAAATAAAACCTACTATATTTGCTAAATATTATTTTTATAAAATAGCATACAGTGTAGTTTGCGGTAAGCAGTATGGCAGTTGTTTAATTAGAACATAGACAGCATTTTGCACATTCTGTGTTCATGAGTGGAGCTGTTATATTGTAAGTAATAGTTTTTTCTGTATAGTCATAAATATTTGTGCTTTTGTTTGAAGGAGGATATCATTTCTATCTGGAATAAGACAGCCAGTGATCAGGCCACCACTGCTCGCATTAGAGACACCTTACGCAGAGTTCTCAACCTGCCTCCTAATACCATTATGGAGTATAAAACACACACCGATAGCATCAAGTGAGTTATACAATACACTCATATTTATGTGTATACAGTCAAACCAAAATTTATTCAGACACCTTCAACATTTCACACACAAGAACACATTTTTATAAATTTTACTGGTAG